CTACTAGGAACAAGTGCATCACTTCTAGTAACAAGTGCCTTACTAGTGGTAACAATGTTTGCTATTAGTTTTTATATTAAACTCATGCAAATGCCGCTGCGCACTGCCTGGATGGGGGAGGAGTTTCGCTAGGTTGCGTCGCTGTCCTCCGCCATTGATGTGAGACTTCAATGGTGCCACATCTCGTTCTAGGTCGGCAACCCGCGTGAGGAGCCTTGGAAGGCCCCTATGAACTCTAGGACAGGCACTGGAGTTTGAAAAGCTCTGGAGTTGTTTTTTTTGCTGCACTGTTGATTCGCAAAGGCGTGTCTGCACAAGAGCTGACACATCAAGATTCAATTATGCACATGCAGTGCTCAATAAAGCCCTTCCAGTGCGTGTGACATGATCCTTTAATGGCTGGGAGCTGGACCGAGACACCCATGTGAGTTCCAGTGCGAAACTGAGCACGCTGCCCAACCACCAAGCGTTGAAGAGACTCCACCTGCACTTCACAACGCTACCTCTCTCCCTCTCGAGAGCTCAGCCCATGGTGACACAACGTGGCTCTAGCATCAATCCATGAGCTGTTTTCAGGCTGTTTCCAATTCTTTCTGTTTGGGGTGCGTTCATTGGAACATGAAGTGTGTTGATTTAACACTTGGACCTCCCGCATCTTTTTGCAGAAAAAGCACGTGGACAATGTCCAAGGAAAACTCAAAATGTGTCGTGGATGAAGCGCCCCTTGTTTCAACACGACTCATAGTCGGACTCTCAGTCATCCACCGTGAACATGGGAAGAACACCATGCAACACCTACCGCAAAGGACTTGGCCTGGGTGCACAGCCATGTGAGTGGTGTGCCAACGCCCGACGCCAAAGGTGTGGCCATGGCTGACGGTTGGAACCAGCTTGCAGCAGCTTGCAACTTTGTTGACTATCTACAGCACCTGCTGCACTGGCCTGGAAAAGGATTAGCATAGGTGGATGAGTAAACTCAGCCTCCATGAACAAAAAGCGCATCAATTTAGATGGTGTATGGTTTCTTTTCATATCTTTTCATGCATTCTTCATTGATGTCAATTCACATGCGCCCCTCCGCCCACATTATTTCATGACAAGTCCTCATGAGGTCACTAAGAACAACAGCTGCAAAGCACACTTCCACAACCGGCAAATTAAACGTACAGCATGTTGAACATCCGAGCACATAAAACACCTCAAAACACAAGTTTCTGTTGCGCAGTGAACATCTGAGTAAAGTAAAGAATGTCTTCCCCACTAAGGGCAAAGCGGAGACCGATAAGCCAGTGTTCCAAGCCTGTGACGATTGAACCAAAGTACACCCTCCCTTCTCCGCAACATTATATAAATACATTTCCGAGTACTGTAGTGTGCAGTGCAGCCTTGACACTGCAAAGTCTCGAAAGAATCTGGCTCCCACCAAAGCCATCCTGATTGCCAGCAGGCCATGCTGAAACTTGCAACAAGGCTACATACTGTAATTAGTTAAGTGCACAGCTTGGTAAAAACATCTTCGAAACATCTTCGAAACATATACACACACATGCGCCGTCGACATCGACTTCGCGGCCATAACGTAACCGAGCTGCGGAGCTTCTGCAACCTGTCTCCCGCGCTCTTCGGGGGATGATGGACAGTATGATTGCTATGAGAACTGCATGCGGCGAACCTGGTGGCTACACAAAGCTGCCAAGAGCACCGCCAGCGCTGTTTTCCAATTCAAAGAGAGCTCCACAACGACGCTCGGCAACAAAACCTGGCACAACAGACTGCAGCCATAAATGTCGAACACAATTAAACGATAGACATTGCCAGACTTGTATAAATTCGTGCATCGTTCCACCGCCAACAAAGCCGCTGCGGGGAATGGAGCGCCAACCTCAGTGTCATGGACGTGCTGGCAAACACACCATTCCCGTGACGCTGTGCAGCACTCCAATATTGAGAGTTGACCAAGGCTCCGACCAAAAGAAAAACGATCAAATACACCGGGGTGAGTATTCGCCATGATGACACGTGAACCTCTGGGAAACATCAGGATGTGTTAACTCATGAACCCGTGATTGTCAACCAAGTCAACTCGGGTCCAGAAACATGCACGACATGCACGCTGACCTTCATCACCGAAGGAAGGCCATGGCAGCAATTGCAAATGTTCTGTACGTTACATGTGGCAATACTGTACAGTATTGTGTGTGTGGTTGTTGGTTATGGTGGGCCTCCAAAAGAAAGTCTGAAAAATATGTTGCCACTTCCAATTTATTGAATATGGAAACCTAAAGGGTGATTTCACTCGGAGTCTTACAATGCATCAGGAGCAGCAGCAATGGCTGAAGCTTGTGAAAAACCAAAGGGTCAAGGGCATGGGCCTGGGCCAAAGAAAAGGCTCGTGAGTGGTTGCGGTGTCTGGAATACATCACCCATTGCACATGCAAACCAATTGCCAACCCGTCGTGATGGAATGTGATGTGGGGAAATCTGGATATATGGATAAAAATTGATAACACAACAGCCAGCTCATGCTGCTTGTCAGCGCAAGCTAACCAGTGCAAATCGAGGCCCCAAACCCTACTAGCGCCTCTAATTGAAAGTTCGAGAAGCCAAAGGCAAACAATTGACAACGATCAATGGTCCTACTAGATCTGGGCACCCCGGCATAAATGTGAGCTGACTCGCATGGAGCAGCATGCTTTTTTACGTCAGCACGCTGACAATGACAAACAGTCCATCTGCTTGACAAGCCGGTGAAAATGGGTGAAAATGAAGGATGAGTGGATGGTGCTTATCCCACAATTAATCCTCACCATTCCTCACCATTGTTGCGCGAAACATACATCTTTGCAGTTTCACTGTATGTGCAATTAGTCGTGAAAACGAAATAGCAAAGCCCCACGCTGACAGTCAAGGGAACTATGATAGGAGAGAGCACCCACACCCGCCACGACCTGAGAGTTTGCAACCAGGACCACACGCGTGCTTGATCATAGAACTCGAAATCAATCTCCTCCAGAGTCTTCTGGACTCCAATAGGCGCAAAGCTCCTAAAAACAATCTCGTCAATGTCGAGGATGAAGTTCAAAGCCAAACAGTATACACGCTTATCGCCATGGAGAACACTCCTAACACTATGAAAACTTTCGCGTCTGCCCTGTGGTAGCCAGCAAATCGAAGAGACACCTCTTCGCGTGTGGTGTGGATCCAGGAAGCTGATCCCAGGCCCTTGCCAGAAGGAGGAAGCAGGTAGAAATGTATCACTGAGGTCCAAAAATCTCGGCTCCACTGCACCACAAAAATGAAAATACCCAGGAAACGAAATAAATGCGTCTCGATCCCAAAGACCTTGCCATCTGCAGCTGGGTCTAGGCTTGAAATGCTGTTGACCGCAGTTTCATGAAACGATTCATTGCCCGTCATGCCAGCAATTAGGCCGATAATGGATTTCAAAGCTCCATGGGTTGCTACCTGCAATTCATAGCGGGCGAAATCTGTTTCCCGATTCTCAGTTGTCACATTGAACCCTTCGTATCCACGGCCCACATGGGCTGTCAAGCCGTAACCTGTGGGGAAGAACAAGCTGTCGGCTGCTCCTATTCCATACATACATGCAGCTGGATCGCCACCTTCCGAACTCAACAATGGCACGTAGACCAGCAAAGCCAGCAAACAACCTTGCAGAATGATGCTCACTGTGTACATGACCACAGCAGACCAAAAATATGAGCGGCACTGCGTGCTCCAGCCGCTACTTCGGTAGACGCACCACATCACCAACGCAGCTGCATAGGCTGAATCCTTGGGCATGTCTTCTGCAAAGCGATATCTTGCAAGGACGCTACCCGTGTCCTCGCCCCTCAAGTTGCCTCGTGGAATGTAAAGCCCCTCGTGCACCCCACTGCTGATCATGACCCATTGACCATCCTTTTGAAGCCAACCCTCCACTTCTTCCCCCTCGTAAAGAAGATTTGCATCAAGCATCTCTCCAGAGTCCAGTTTCCGGTAGAATTCTGCAAAGGAGCAGTTGACGCGCCAGCCCTTTGAGTCCTGTCACCGGTCGGCGTAAGTTGAACACAAACACATACCAATGAAAACACCTGCATACACCTGCGATATTGGAACCCTTGTTGGAACCCTGATGGACAAACTTGGTGACTGTCCTTCTTCCGCTTCTTCAAGTCAGACATAAGCAAATACTTAGGTGGGCGCAGATCAGCATCAGCTGAAGGGCTGTGAGGTTCAACTAGCTCCAAGAACTCCACTCGTTTTTGCATGCCACGGTGCTGACCCCACACTGGGTTGCCTGCTCAGCCAAGCTCAGGGGAATAAAGGGCCAAGGAAGGGTCCATAAATGCGATCTTCAAACATCAAAACCGAAATGAAAAACACTGAGATGCAGTGCTGCAGCAAATGATTCTCTGTCACAGTGTCCTTGTTTGAATTGAGTGGTGATCTCATGACCTCCAATGTTGGAGTCCAAACTCAGTTTCAACCTGAAACTGGAACTGTGTGGTTGCTTCAGGTTTTGCAAACGTTAACTATATGGAGCTTCTTCCTGTTCATTTATCTTTCCTTCCTGGTTGAATTTGATATCAACTAACTGATTTGACTGATTTGTCTTTCCTTGTTCTTTCTTTCCTTCTTTAAGGTTTGATCCGCGTATGTCTGTCTGTCGTCCTTTTTCTGTTTCCTGCTCCTCTGTTTCAACCCCTAGTTGTCTTTTCTTTCTTTCTTGCTTTTCGTGATTGCTATATACTTCTTATTTTTGGATGCCTCCCCCCTACGGGAGTCTTTGCCCCATCTCGCACAGCCTTTCCTTGAAATCCTTTTGTGCAACCTCCTAATCACCCCAGTGGTTGATTTGGACTTGTTCCGATCAATGCTATACACCTTACCTGCCCTCTGGTGCTTGTACCTTGCAGATCCTTGCAAAACTCTCTAATAGTCTAGCACGCTGAACTTGGAATTTGCCAACTTCAACCACCTCTACTTTACTACTTTCTAGTCATAGGCTATAGGTGACTGCCTTCGGGAATTCAAAAGCATGCGGCTCAAGCCCAGTGAGTCAAACCCACACAAGCTGAGTAATCGACAAAACTGCTTGCTTACCCGACATGGATGCCCCGGACATCGCACTGATCACCATCTGTCACAATACAATGCATTGCTCGCCTCACCTGCTACCATCACAACACCCCCACATACGCCTCCGCTGACAGCCAAGTCCCCCAGGTAGTTTAGTTGAAACCTCTCCCCCTAGACCCCCTATTCTCACCTCGTTGAATAAAAACAACTTCAGCCTTGCCTATACCGTCTGGCTTTCCTAGCAGGAAAGTATGTAAACTGCGTTGCTGCACGTAACACACGTTGGCGACGCCGGCCTTTAACGTGGTCACCATTGTACAAGCCCTGATCAGCCCGGCCGCCGGTTTGGCTCTTGGTGGAGTGCAGTCGTGTCTCTGAAGCTACAACCCACAGGTTGGTCTCTTCCCGCGGTTTGAGGAGGAGCTTGAAATTTGCTTTGAGAGGCAAGAACTTCTCGTGGTCGACCTAGGCATTTTTAACATCAACCAGAAAACTCCTGGCCCTTAACAAACTCAGTATGCCAAGGTACACTGCTATCACCCAACTCGAAGGATAATGCACTTGTCACTTGTCCTTCATACTGTCAGTTTAGTTAGTAAGTTAGTCCATGAGTGAAGGTGCCGAAGTTAAACTAGCACTTTTTCCAGTATTGTACTTGGCTCCTGTGTCTTGGCCACAAGTTCAGGGATTTTGACAAATAGCTTTCAGCAACAACACGCTTGATGCAACCCCGAGGCAATATCCTTTGTATTCCTTTATTGTCTTCACCTCCCGCATCTTGACTTCTAGCTATCACCCTCGCGCGTCGCGTATGTCTGGGACCAATTGGCCGAACTTCGCATCCTCAAACGTCTGACAAACACTTGCATATATATTATATATATATATATACAAAGAGTGAGAGAGAGAGAGAGAGACAGTCCTGGCGTCACCGGGATTTCAAACCCAAGACGTGGAAAAAGTATGTGGGGGCCTCCAAATTAAAGTCTTTGTAGCTTAGGACCTGGCCCCCTGCCTTTCTTGACCAATCATAGATGTAGGGAAGGTGCCGGGATCGAAGTTTGCCTCGCCCCTTCGCAGGGCTTCGCGCTGGCTGTGAGATGTTGCGACTAGTATATAGCTATATATAGCTATATACTACAATAGTCTGCTAAGCCAAGTCGCCTGGACCCATTCCACTTCATTGGATCCCAAAATAAGGTTTCCAGCCAGGATGTCTCCCTTTCTTGCCGGATCACAGTTCGCAATGAAGTCTGAGGGTTCACAAGATGATGTGTACTGAACTTCCTCTGCAACAACTTCATAGCTCTCCAAGCCTCGGTGAGTTGGCCATCTCCACTCTCCAAACCTCTTGGAAGAACAAATCCTCCTAGGCCATATATGCTTCATGTGCAGTTGCCATCAAGCATCCCACAACAAAAAAAAGTGCATATCATGGCACCTTCCCACAACTAATTAGCACGCCTCACCACCAAAACATCCATCAAATGGGTAGAAAATCTGAGGGGTCCTCTGCAGAACACTCCTTTCTCGAGTGCGACACTCAGGTCAGCACCACAAAGCCCCCCAACTGGGACAAACCTGCCATCGTGGAGTTGCAGCCACCGCTCTGGCTCGAGCTCGGATTGATCGAAGGTTCCATGCAGCGTGCCGAAGGTGAATGTAAGTCGAACCACCAAACGCGGGTCCTCCTCCTTCACATATTTCCTGACTCCGACAAGGTATCATTTTGGTGAGGTTTGGTCATGATCGGCTCCCCAAATCCTCCAGTCACGGAGTTTAAGTTTAAGCCCTTGGGCAGGTCGGATCTTCATTGTGTGCATTGTTTCAAGCTCAGTGGCGGGTGTAGGGTGCAAGCGGGTTAGTGCACAACCACTACGCTAGCCGCTAACACGCAGCTGCCACCATACCCCAGCAAGCTGGCCAAATTATTCGACAGCTGGTTCGTTAGTAAAGGGGATGTCAAGTTGCCCTCTAGTTGGTGTGCCACCACAGCTGAAACAGGTCTGGCGACTTTCTGCTGGCAAGCTAGCACTCCAACCGCTGGCGATTCACTCCATGTTCTGGAAATCTGCCAGCCCCGCCTGTTGGAGCTTGGATATTGCTTTGTTTTTGTCAGGGCCGGATCCATTTTGTCCCTTGCACTTACCGGCGCCGCCAACTGTTGAGCAAAAGCTACAATCGATCAATCACATCTGAAGCTGTTGTGGCGAAACAATGTCTTGGCCATGCATGAATCCCTGCCTTCTGCGTGGTGACGATCGCAATTGGCGGCTAAGGCGGTAGTCACGGTAGTCACCACTTCGTGGCTCCAAGTTTCCCAGGGAACTCTGCTCACCCACGCGCCCCGCACAAATGTCCACCACTTTAAACGGTAAACGCATGACGCGCTTTCATGTCACACACAAACTAGACACACACAACCCCAACATACCAGCACATGAAACAGCATGGCAGGCTGAACATCTTGATATCTTGGCAACACCCTAGTTACTACTCACAAAGCTTCCCTCAAGCACAACGTAACGTATCAAGAACAAAACACACACAACATAAACAACTAAGAAACCTCCCACATAAATACAGGGAAACACAGTCAGTGGCTTGGTATGACTTGTGTTGGTGTTGGCCAGGGACAAACAAACGGCTTTTCTCTCAAGGTAAACGCATGTGGCTGTGACTTCCCCCAAGCACCCCGAGCTATGTTCAATACTCACCACGGTGGGTGCGACCTCCTCCACTACAAGGTATGGTGTGTTGTCCAGGGTCCAAGTGTTTGCGCCACCTATTCGGTGGAAAGAGACCCCGGAAGAGCATCCCCTGACCCCCCGAAGAGCACACTAAGCAAGTGACGGTGTATTGTACGTCAACAATAAAAGATACACTGAGAGGTATACGGGCAAAGGGAGGATCTGCGTATACTATGTATACTGTGTTTCTTTGGGGCCTTGCGTATCCCTGATCCGTGTCCTGACAATGGTTGCCTCCAGGAGTTTGCCACAAATCTTGCCGAAGGTGACCTTCTTGAAGGTCTTAGAGTCATCTTTGATCTCCACACGATCACCTTCCTCGAAAATGCCTGCCAGGCAGACATCTTCAGCACCGGTGGGCTCAGGTTTGGATGCATGAACGGCATGAACTCTTGGCATGTTCAAACCTGCCTGGCACAAGCTCCCCCGTGAGTGTGCTTCCCTTTGGGATGACGTCCAAAGCTCCCCGAGCAATTGACTTCCTCTCCGCTTGCACCAGCGCTCCAGCGTTTTCAATTCGATAGATGCAGCCCTCCTTTGCCTCTGGGTCAGCAGAAAAAAGTTTGCATTGACCACAAACACGACTCATTCCACCATTGTAAACATCGACACAATGGCACGAGTACAAAAGAGTTTCAATGCACAACCAGGCGGGAAAGGATTAACATCTGAAAGGATCTTCCTTGCTCAAATCTTCCTCCCTTCCAAGCAGTTCCATTCTCGAACTTCCCACTGGCGATGCCTTAATTGGTTCTGCAACTTCCACTTTGATCTCTGCCTGGCCAAACCTGAGGAGCGTTGGCACATGTGGACGGGGTCCTTGCAAAAGGAGGACCCACCAATGCTACCTCAAGCGAATACGTGTTGACAAAGCCTTCTGCAACACGGTAGGTGCAAGAGACTTTGAATGGACTGCAAATGCAATATAACTTAAGAAGGGCATGCCTGACAGGAGCATTCTATAGACCATCTATGGGCAATTGGGATATGTTGGGTCATCTGCACTGGCCCGCCCCACCTGTCCAACTTGAACAAACCACCAATACATCTCCTGGGCAACAGGTCAAACCTCCACATGGAAGGTCACACGACCTCCACTCTCAGAACCTGAAAATATGATAATAATGGCGGCATTTGCAAGACCAAAAGATGCCACGGCCCGGCGTTTCCGGAAGGCTCTGGGCATTTTGGGCGCCACTCGGTTGCTCTGGGTCACCGGGCTCTGCTTCAACAGCTTCGGTTGCTTTGGCATTAGCTTCAACCTTCGTCTCCCTCTTCCTGGCCTCAGGGTCTGAACTTGACTTGCAAGAACTAGGTCCTAGGTTAACATATTATGAATCATATGATCCAGTCAGCACGTGCTTGAACTAGGTAACTAATGTTGACCTCATAACAATAAATAGCCCGTTAATAATGCTAAATCTGTTCAATCACCCATAATAAATGGACCTCAAATAATGCTATTATAATCTATTATATATATATATATTTGTTTTTAATGTCCTTTCAATTTCCTGTCCTTTCCTTTAATGTTCTTTTCAATTTCCTTTCCTTTCATTGTCCTTTCCTTTCCTTTCATTGTGCTTTCAATTTCCTTTCCTTTCCTTTCATGTTCCTTTCATTGCTTTTCCTTTAATGTCCTTTCTTTTCCTTTCATGTTCAATTCAAATCAAGATTGTATAGGATTTTTTCAGGATTTCACATTATTTGGGGCCGCACTTGATCAAGGGGGGGTTATTATTAGGAGGTGGACATTAATGGTAACTAGGTTAACATATTATGAATAATATGATCCAGTCAGCACGTGGTTAGAAACCCTGAATTCGCAGGTTCAGTACACATTTCATTGCGAGCAGTTTATTTACAGGCCCCTGCCCTGGGAAATCAAAATGTAGCAGAAAACAGATTCTGCATCAAACCCCGAGTAAAGTAAAGTACCACGGAACCTTCTTTGCTTTCTTCTTCGGCTCCCTCATTGGCTTTGGCACGCCGGCCTCAAGTGATTGGCAGATGAGGCGCTTCTTGGCAAAAGATATATCGATGGATGTGGTACGGGAACATCTGTTTTGTCAAAAATGGAACCCGTGCACCGTAATACCCTCGCAAGGTGCCGGTTGGGAACTAAGAGCTGCCCTATGATCTGGGGGCTGTTGCAATCTCAATCAACCCACTAATTTTTGATTGTGCAGGAGATACGCCTTTACTCTCCTCCACCAGACGTGCATGGCAGGCATGGTGCTTCTATTCCAATTGTATTGGACGCATTGACGCATGCACCAAAAAATCAATCAAACCATGTCGATCTTGTTGTCTTGTTGGGGCAATCACATGGGCTCGTACGACAAAATCATTTTACAATATTTGTTGATACTGGTGGTGTAAACATGCGTACAATGATAGTGGAGTGCGAGAAACTCTCAAATGAACACAAGTCCCCAAACCTAATCTGCTGGGAAACATGAGCGCCCAGACACAAGTTCTTCATAGTTCTTCCCTCATGAAGAGCACACAAGCATTCCCCCCCAAACCCAGGGTTGATATGCCGTCCATGTCCCCACTGCTCACGTGATAATAAAACATACAATAACAAGAACCAAACGCACACGATCCAAGACTATAAGACTATTTGGTCCCATCCAGCGCATCGTCCAGCAACCACCCCACCATACCCCACTCGTTCCCACCCTACCTCAGCCACACCCTGCAGCTCTGACCTTGACGGGGAGGACTGCACACAGGACATGGCACACCATACCGGCAGGGAAATGTAAACCGTGCAACATGCACCTTGATTCATCCTGCCAATAACTGTCGATCAACATGATGAACTTGACGGGAGCGCTGGCGTTTGTTGTGGGGCGTGGTGTTGAGTGTCGAAAAGGTGGCGGAATTTGGCGGAGGCTGAATCCAATGAATCCAAGGTGATCTGCCAATTGCGCCTTATGAGGAAAAATCGGAAATGGATGGAGAAGGCTTGCCACTTTTGCCCTAACAAACATGCACTCTGTGACACCTCTATGGCCCAACGCCAGCCCCACCACCGTGCCAGGCCTCTCCGACCTTGTGGCCGAGACCTCCGCACGCTTTATCCAAACACCAAATGGATGATGGTGCCTATTGGAAAAATGATGAAACATGTCCCCGAGTCAAGTCCCAGATTTTCTCTCTGCACCAGCCATCGTGCCGAAACATGCCGAAACAATCGCAATTCAGTTCTGGCCTCTGCGAATTCCTCCGTGCTCTGTGGGAAAAGCCCTGTGGCCTCTGGAGCCTCCATTTCAATAGTGGCACATCCTTGCTCAGTAAGACCATAGGGGATGGCACAGCCGGCTGCAGTGACCTGATCTGCAGCAATCCAATGATACCGAAAATGCCCCTCACGACGTTTCCATCTTGCAAAAACACATCTGCAGCAATCCAAGCGTATTTGAAACGCGATGCCTCAGGATATCTTGGACTAGCGAGTTCCTTCTCAATCGTGTCAGAGGCCTGACCCGGCTTTCAAGGAACAGTTATGAACATGGCCAACTTGGACACCTTGACGATTGACAAATTCTGAAAAGCAGGTGGTTAACCTCAAAACCTTGCCTCTGAGGTTAAGGATGCTTGTTTGCACACAATATCACACAATCAAAACAACAGAGGTGCAAAAGGCAAATTGCAGCGTGCGAAACCTTTGACCACGTGATTCTTCGGCCCTCCATCATTCATTTCCCAACAAAAATCAAGAATCAGAAGAAACGCTAGTAGGTCGGAGGCTAGTAGCTGAATTACAAGAATGTTTTGTCTTAATTAAGTAGGCGCCTACTTCTATAATTAAGTAGTCTACACGAACAACTTCGACCCGAAGGTGGTTCCCAATGGCCAATTGAGCGTGGCTTGCCATCTCGTCTCCTGCACTGCGTTTCGCCAGAGCTACAATTAGCAAATGATAAATGAGACCGGGTACCGCGTAAGCAAATCATAAATTCAATACATACAACTGATCGTGGTGCAACGCGCTTTTGCCAACTTAAATTGCGTGAGTGGCCGGTCACAGTCACCAACCTTTCGGATTTATTGAATTAGGTCGTCTTTGTGCCTCTTACGCGTATGGCGGTAAACTCACGGGGTAACTTGTGGCCCAACTGCAATCATTTGCATGCAAAATGGGGTGAACCCATTTGAGCCCCCGTGTGTTCCCACTGCCCTCCCAAACACGCATCCTTGTTGCCAAAAAGGCCGTGGCGCCTGCCATGGAATATGCGATTTGTTGGTTTGGCATTTGTTTGTTACATACGTGTTGTGTATTTTTTTGTCGTCTTTGCTCTTGCTTCCTGGCGGAATTTGCAAGGCCGAGGCCGCTGCAACTTCTGTTTTGCCGACGAAACCGGTGTGAAACATTTGTAGCGTTGAGCACTAGTGAACACAATCCTGGGCCTATATCATAAACACAATGGTCTTTGGATGTCTTTGGTCCCAGTTCGCGCCTCCAGACACCCTGCCATGCCCACATTCTCAATGAAAACCTCATCACCAACAGGTGCGTCAGGTGCCTGAGGCCGGAGATGCTAAACATGCAAATGGACGCCAACAGCAAGTTGAAAACACAAGTTCTGGCAAAATGTCAGGACACTCAAGTGTTTAGGAAATTGTTCCAACGTGTGCTTTCTACACAGTCAGAGTTCCATTTAGATCATTGCTGTTGTTATTCTTTGACTGCTAGATCCAAGGACTAACACTAACACAGTGAACTTGGTTAGACATTGGGTCACCCTGGATGATAGCCAAGTAGAAACTTTTAAAATGAATTGGAAAATGCAATTTCTGGCATATCGTCCCAAACCAATTGCAATTTTAAGGTGGGGGGTGTAACAAAACCCTTAACATATCCAAATTTGTGGATTGTCTTTGCCCACGGCGAAACAATATTTAAACTAACCCTTGCACATTCAGCCGCACTGAGCATCTTGAAAATTAAACAGAAAGGAGCGCTCTGAGCGTCGCGTTTTTGCATTGTTTCATTTTGTTTGTATTTTGTTTCTATATTTGTATTGTGTTTCTACTGATTTTTGTGCCACTGAAAGAATCCTATTCTGCCTCAACCCCCCTCTCCCCAAAGGCAATTTCCAAAATTTCAATTTTCCAAAATATTTAAAAAAACAATTGTGCCAGGACTTTGCCTCACCCCCTCTTCCCCCCATGGTCTGTGCAGAATCGTTTTTTTGTTTTTTTTGGTTCTTTTGTTTTTGTTGTTTGGAATTTTGGAAAATTGGAATTTTGAATTTTTTAAGGACCTGGGATATATTAAAATTTTCAATTTTCTGGGAAGTAGACAATACTCCCATTTTCTCTCAATTCGAGAGCAGTCTCTGAAATCAAATGACAAAAAACCTCAGTGATTTGTTCATTAGGGTCTAATAATGCTCCTTCTGCTCCTTTAACTCGAAAATTGGTAACACCTGACATTAGAATTATAGCCAGCAAAATTGACATCTGCCATCTTTTCAAGTGACATACCAATAATGAATTTGTTTTCTCTGTATTGACGATACGAAAAACTTAAACTGTCATGTACTGTATAGCTCTTCTTACATAGTGAAAGGTTTATGATAATGATTGCGCTTCAAATTCTGGATATTTCCGGGAATTGCTTAATTGAATTTGCCAACTTAAACTACGGGTGGCATCTTGAAAACCTTTACCTTGTAAGTCATTTGTATCAGCATTACCAGTATCATTAATTCTTCCATAGATCATAGGATTGTAAAAATAATTCAATCTCTGATATACATATTTGTCAGGTAAGTATCGGTTCAGATCTTCACCACTTCTTGGAGTTCTAAATAAGGTAATGAATGCTGCAGTCAGTTTAGAAGATGATTTTACAATATTCATATTAATTTGACCACCACCAGCATTGAATGTTTGGTGATAACAATGTGTAATGTTTCTTATCTTTGCCATTCCGCCCCCTTCTATGTCCTGCCATTCTGACACTCAATGGCTGACAAGTAGCACCAATATAGACATCGTCAGTTTTGTCATTTAGTATTCGGTAAATTTTTGCCTTGGAGTAATCCACCATAATATTACATATGTTAATTAAGTTTAAATGTGTTTTTTTAAAGAGTGATTGGGGTTAAATCCATTGCTTATATTGGTGCCGGGATTGATGTTCCAAAGGCCGTTCCCTTCAAAATTGATATAGCTGTGGCTGATTAAAGGGTTAGGTTAGTATTCTTTCAAATCAGAAGTTATAGCGTAACCATCCAACATTGAACCAATATCGGATGGATTGCGGAGTCAAGTCTTTTGGGATTTTGTCCTTTCCTCTTTGCTTTTGTTGTAGGGGTAGCATAGGTTGTTGTCGCAAAGGTATTAGGTTGTTCTTGATTGATCTTATTACAGCACTTGCAAGGCTATGTCCAACCAAACGGGTTATTTCTGGTGACTTTTCCCATCAAGGTTGAAGGCTCGAGCGTTTACGACGCGACCTTGATTCGGCGGCGCCGCGCGAATCGAGCCATGGCATGTGGGGTCATTCCCCCCGATCTGCGGACCCTGCTTGAGGACTTTGATGTTCACTCGCAGGTCCATGGAAATCCACATGAAGCACCCCTGCTGTGGAACCTGTTGCTGGGCGATTTGCAACCAGAAGTTGATGGCCTTAGAGCCAAAGTTTTGAAAGGTGGGTTCCTCCAAGGGGTTGATCTGGGACACACCACTCGGCCAATCCCACCGATAGAAATGACCGATCAACAGGTCTTCATCCAGTTCCCGAACCTGTCGAGCCTGAAGGTCACTAAGGAACTTCTCCTCACCCGCTTGTTTATTCATCCGTATCAGGCTACAACACATCGGGATGAGTTGGTCCTCTGCCTGTCCAAGGATAGCTTGATAGTGCCTAGGCACCTCCAAGAACCACAAGTTATGGTCCACCTCTTCGCTGGGGGATACGGTGGCTGGACATCAGCACTCCGATACTTTCAGCCCAAGATCTACCCGAAGGTCAGAACAGTCTCTGTGGAACTGGACCGGAAGTTAGCCTTTCAACATGCACTCAATCATAGAGAATCGTTCTTCCCTTCAGATGCGAAATTACCTCCTGGATTGCTGGACAAAATTCCAGGCAACCTCATGGTTTGTGCAGACATTGCATCGTCAGGGTGGCAGGTGATTATCAATGGTGCTTCCTCAACACTCTGGACACTCTCACCTCCATGCCAGCCCTGGTCCTCCGCGGGAAGGGAACAAGGACTTGAAGATGTAAGGGCACAATCCCTTCCTAAAGCCTTCGCAGTAGCACGATTTCATCAACCACCGCTATTGCTCTTCGAGAATGTGAAAGGCTTTCGGCAGCACCCTCAGTACCCTCTGTTTGGTCAACTGTTAAGCTGGGCTGGGTACCAGATATTCTATGAAAATGTTATTGAGCTTGCAGAGATCTGCCCGATCAGAAGACCTCGCTATCTTGCCATTTTGGTGCGTCGTGATATCCCCTGGAATGCCTTGCCGTCCTGGCAGCCGTGGCGAGACTTCACCTTCTCTACGCCACTGAACTTTGGTTGCTGGTCACCAACTCAGGCAAATGAGGTCGAGGACTACTTCCCCTCTGAAGCCACCAAGAACTTCTATATGAGTGCTGAATTGTGCCCAACCCGTGGTGAACAACCGGTCTCTACGCATCGGGTCTTTCAGACTAGGGTTCCGGGGCTCAACGTGAAGCAACCGGTCTTGATGGCCAAGTATGGTGAGCAACATCTTTTGGATATCAACCTGTTGCTCGACAAGGGGCTCCATGGATTCTTTTGCCCGGACCAAATGACCTTTCGTTGGTGGAAACCTGTTGAGCTTGCTCTAATGCATTTGCAGCCACATGATCTACTCCTGTTCAGGCCTCGAGAACATGCTTGGCACAGTTTGGGCAACATGATCGCCACACCACATGCAGCGCTACTCCTCCTCAATGCTTGGAATTTGCAATCTGATCCAGCAGACCGCATTGATGTGCACTTTGCCATCTCCAAGATGCTCCAGGACCGGCGAACTCTGTCAACATCCAGAATTGCTTGCCACAAGCATGCATGGATCCTTACCACCAGTTTGGATATTTCTGAAATGGAAGTTGTCCTTCAGAAGGCAGATGAAGATTTGGCACCTTTGACAACTGCAGAATTCCGTTGGCCAGATGACGTCTACTGGAGCAATGCATTTGGACTCCAACCACTGCATAAACTCCGACATCCACAACATGTTGAGTCACCGCATCAGTTGCATTCACCGGATACCACAGAGAGCAAAGCTGAAGAGAATGCCGGTGAAGATGTATCCGCCACAAAGACAAAGACTTCCTCGTCACCTGGCTCTTGTGAAGAAGCACCGAGTTTGCCTACGGAATCCCCGCAACTGGCATATTTACTTCAGTCACCACAAGAGTCCTCAGTCACTGAGCAGAAGGCTACTCATGCTCAAAAACGGCAGCATATCGAAGTTATTGAAGTTGCAGAAACGGTGGAGGAGAACACTGCAACCTCCCCGTCTTTGGATGAGGGGTCTGGTCATCAGGAAGATAAAGAGCCACCACCAGTTGCAGCAGCCACCACATCGGGGGATAGCACTGCAACCCCATCGATTCTTCATCAGCCGCCAACAGCATTCGTGACCCCATATCTTATTCCCCAGGAGAATATGGTACTTTGGCTATCCATGGCACGGTTCAAGCTTGTCAGATTTCACATCTATGGAGCTATGAAACCCGGGTGGTCCGAGCAGACAATCTGCAACTGTGTTCTGAGCATCATTCGCTGGCTGGGCACTACTACAGTATTCCAAGCACTATGATTCAGGCTGATCACCCGCAAGAGATACCATTTGAGCAAGAGGCACCAGTCCTATTCCAAGATTACGACCAGGCCAGGTTGTTCCTAGTTCCCAAGGATCTACGTGTGTCAGAGGTAATTGACAGCTGGTGTCACAACTCTCTTTGATCAGTATGGAGCAATTCCGGCTTTCAAGCATGCGGCAGAGCTTTGGGTCATCACGGTATTTGACCCTACCATGACCATCCAGCTTCACATTGATCACTGGATCAATGTAACCCAACCTGTCAAGATTGAAGCGAGGTATCCAGTTGATACTGACCATTTGGTATGTGTCTTTGAGGGGCCAATGGAGTCTGTCGAGAATGTCCTCATGACCTGGTTTCTTGCAGCCTCTCAAGATTGGCAAGCTTATCATGCACGACGACCATGCCTGCAAATTAATTCTGATCAGCAAGCGCGACTGGTTTTTGCTACCGCCGGGAGAAAGTTTGCCACGCCTGCAATCTATCTTTTACCACAGATTGCATTTCGTATTGCCCGTAACCAATTTCAAGCAATGGCTACGGAAGACGGACTTTCTGCGATCATCAAATACCTTGGGAGAGAACTTTTCAACGGATACATGGATCCACAGCGTCAGGTGGGAACACTGCACAAGATTCTTTCTCAGGCATTTTGGCCGATTCATCATGGCCGATCTATGGCAATCATCTCACAAGCTCACTCACTTGGAGATCGAGTCCGTCTTTTCGAACTGACTGCTCGAGATGCTGAAGGCAATCCACATCCAGTGGTACTATATCTCCAACCGCCACAACAAGGAGGAGTCAATAGTGGATCCAAGAAAGACCACCACCACCTGTTGCATACAAAATTGGCAGAACTTTTCCATCAAAGTGGTATTTCAGTTGCCCAGACACCAGCAAAGGTGGAAGATCTCATCCGACAATATGGCACATCGCGAATCACCCATTTGCTGTTCTCTCAATCAGGAGCAGACAAATGGTCAGATTTCCGCAAGTTATGCCAAGAAGCTCAAGTGGAATTGCCATCTCATGAAGAACTTCATCAGATGCAACAGAGTAAGTTCCAGAAGTTGGCCAAACATCAAGCCAACAAGGCACGTCAAGACCCTGATGTCTCGGACTTTCAGCTCCGTCAAGGTTACTTCCAGTACAATGACGGGTCGCCTGCTCAGATTCTCACGGCTATCACTCCCTGGACTAGAGGTATATGTCTGATGGATATGGAACAAGCAGCACCCTGGCTTCGAGAAGTCCAGGGACAAAGTCCAGATGAACTAGCCATCTTTGTCATTGGGGCGGAGTCTATCTCGTCCCCTTTGCCATGGCAAGTGATCTCAGCTCCAGCGGTGAACAATAACGGACAGCAAGTGATCCTGCAAGGAATTCTTCTGCAACTTGGTGAAAAGACCATGCGCATGCAGCACACAGATGCCTCGGTTAAGCTGACGGCAACACGAATTTGCAGTATTACGTTGTGGAAAGATGAATTTACCTCAGATCACTGGACAGCCATCCTTCGAGCCCCAGTTAAAGAAGCCAAAGCGCTCCTCCCGTTGGAGGTGGCACAACAGATTCGCAATCCTTGGGGTCGCTCCAAGTTGATCTCCTCTCTTGGTCAAGAGCAATTTTGTTCGGTGTTTTGTTACCAAAGGGTAATGAAATTGTTGCCATGTTCCGCTGGCCCATGCAGCGGCCAGATTTTTGGTTTTGTTTCCCACGAGAAAACAAATGTCCTTTTTGCGAAGATCGGGATTGGAACCCTTTCACTGCCGTTCGAGTGGGGGAAGCTTTGCATCCCGGACCCTCGGTTCCTGCATGTGTCTTTCGAATGTCACAGGTTAATCCCACATCTGTCTACCAGAAATCGGACTTGCTAGCCACCCAAGGAGAAGTTGTACTATGTGCGGAAACTTCCGCCACCCAAGGTGTCCAGGTGCAGGAACGGAAGGCATTGCGGTGTTTCGGCTATAACACTGTTTGGTCTCCACCACAGCCTGCGCAACGACCAACTATTCAAGCCACTGAAGACCTGCGAGGTAAAGCCTCAGGACTCATGGTGATGTCTAAATTTCCCATTCGCTCGGCACAGCATCAAGAGCCGCTGGCAATGTGGAGAGCTGGCCGGTATCAGCGATCTTTCCTCACAGTCGGTTCATTGACCATTCAGCTGGTTCAGATTTATGGCTATCCTTCGTGTCATGCTGAATCACGTTCTATGACCAATGAATTATGCCGACATGCTTGCTCAGAAGCCATGCAACTTGACATGCCAACCATTTATGCTGGGGACTTCAACCATCCTCCTGCAACCTTGCCTTTCAGGTTTTGTTGGCCAAGGGATATGTTTCCTCCCAGCAATTATATGGACGGCTTCATCAGAGGGAACAGCCTCCGACCTGCCGAGATGCAACCTTCAATGATGGGTTCTTGTTCTGTCCTACGACAGTACATTGGATTCGAAATATCACCGTTGAGGAGCAGTTTCTCTTTGCTGATCACACCCCGGTGCAGCTAGAGATCCACATGCCGGTTGACACACCAACACGGACTATTTGGAGACTCCCACACAGTTGGACACAATTTGCACCACAGCCACAAGAAATGGCAAGGCAATATGCAAGCTACCGATCTACTCCGCCGACTTCACTGGTACACTGGGCCCAGTTGTGTGAGCAAGCAGTGCACGGAGCCATTCGTACTGCCCACTCTCAAGACTCGCTCCGGCAACCATTTGCATCTCTCCCTCGTCGAGCAAGAGGACGACGCCAACCCAGGAAGACTGTCAAAGTTCCATTGTATCAACCCATCCGCCCTGCGGGGGCTCATCAGTATGCCCCTGGAGTAGATGGTTCGACAGCTCACTTTCGAAGAGCAGTACGTCAACTCAGGCGAGTTCAAAGTCTCCTTCGACGACTCCAAAAGCTGGAAGCCGACTCTACATTGACTCCTGATTGGCCTCAGTTGGTGAAGGAGTGGCAGGTCATCCCTACCAACCTGTTTGAGGGCCGACCATACATCGCCTGGCTCGCCACATGGCCGGACCTTCCTGAGCAGACTGACTTCTTCCCCACCTTGTCCTATTTGGACCAAGCTTGTCAATTGACTAAGCATCAGGTCCAACATCTGGAATCTCAAGAAAAAGCCAGGCTACAGGCGGCCCAAAGATATGAACGACTGTATGATCAGAAATGGTCTAGTAATGCAGGTGCCTTTCGCAAGATTCGCCCGGCTACACCTCCATGTCTCACGATGCTGAAGACCACGTCCACATTTGACATCACAGTTATCAAAGGAGCTGGCACTGGGCTTCTCACGTGTACCATCCCTCAATTTCGAACACCACATCCGCTGGCCGAATATAGCCTGGGTGATCTTAGATTGCAGTTCTGTGCTCAACACCAGGATGACATTGATTTCCTCCAGATGGATGCGGACATGCCCCTCCCGTCTCGACATCGCCTGGTGGTACAAATCCCAACCACTGACACTCAAGAGGTAGCAGATGAACTCAATGGCTACTGGGCCAGATTCTGGTCACGAGATGATGATACAGCAGACTGGACCGAATTCTCCGACCTACTTCGACATACACCCATGGTCCCGCCCCTGGATGCCGCTCTTACATTGGAAGAATGGAAACAAGCAATTCGTCACCTGAAGCTAGGTACAGCCCGGGGAGTTTGTGGATGGTATGCCCAAGAACTGCGTATCTGCCAGATTTGGCAGTAGAAGATCTATTTCATCTTTTTCGTGACCACATGCAATCCATGCCTTCTCATTTGATGCGTGCAAGGACTATACCCTTGGGCAAGACCACACTGCCAGATCAAGCACATTTGACACGTCCCATCACGGTCCTTTCCTTGTTGTACAGACTGTGGGGTCGAGCTACCACGGTTAAGATACTTCAGCATTGGACCGCGCATTTCCCATCTGCAGTTGTTGGTTTTTTGCCGGCCAGATCAATGACAAATGCCATGGTGGGATTCCAATGGAAGTTAGAGCAAGCTCATCTTGGCACGGATCTGTCATATGGTGGTCTCACTTTGGACTTAGTCAAAGCATTCAATCTTATCGGTCGTGAACCGGCAGCAGAGGCAATGCTTCACTACGGACTCCCACCTGAGTGGGTGCAATTTTGGTTCTCCTCTATATCCGACATGGACCGAGTCTGGGAAGTTAATGGAAGCTTATCTCAGCCCTTCAAACCAACTACAGGCTGTCCTGAGGGAGATACATGGTCGGTTGCCGCTATGCTTGCGCTGTCCAATGTGTGGATACACATGCTGCAAGATACTCCAAAGCCAGTGGCCCCTCTGTCCTATGCAGACAACCTTGGATGGTCGGCACAAGACCCTGATGCTCATCAAGATGCTCTCACTTTGACACTAGCCTGGTCCCATGCCCTTAAGCTGCAGGTCGACTGGAAGAAAACGTGGGTGTGGGCCACTGACAGCACTCATGCGGATGCCTGGCGACAACATCGACGTCATTTTCCGGAATTACAGGACGTCCTTAAAGTTACCGATGCTCGAGAGCTGGGCTATATGATAGCGTATTTGAAATGTCAGAACAAGAAGACTTTCTTTGCTCGACATTCTGAAGCTCTTGAACAATGTCGTCGGATTTCACGGTTACCTCATCCTTTGTCAGTTAAAGGGAACCTTCTTCGAGCGCCGCTCTCCAGACTCCTTTATGGAACAGAGTTGCATATGGTATCCTTGGAGCATTTGAGACAACTCCGCACAGCCATGGCCCGGGCGCTACTGGGTGGACAGTCTCAACCCAATCCCTATTTGGCACTGGCAATTCTACACAAAGACATCCTTGATCCGCACTTTCAGCTCCTCTACCATGCATTCCGTACTATCCGTCGGTTTTTGTGGTCCCGGCCGGTTGAAGACCGTGGTCACTTCTACCGTCAGGTTGTCCGACACTCTGGCCATCCTTGGCATGTTTATGGCCCGGCGGGTACACTCCGCTACCATTTGGATTTCCTTGGATGGACTATGAATATTCATGGTCAGATTTTGACGGATGCATTTGGAAACGTGGAGTTCCTGACAAGTGCCCCTGCGCATCTCCACCAAGAACTGGTCTTCGCATGGGAACGACATGTCCAACTTCAGCTTCACGCCAGACATGATTGGAAAGGTGTACCGCAACCGGATTTTGCCACCACAGCCTCTTTGTTCACTAAACTTCCAGCTGACCGTCAGCGAATTCTGGCAGGTGAACTCACTGGTTCCTTTCAACTTCAGCACCGCAAGACAAAATGGGTTGAAGGGTTAGATGAGCATTGTCCCCTTTGTGGTGGAGATGACACTGTTGAACACCGGAGGCTCCTTTGCCCCGCTTTACAGCAGGCTCGAATGGCACATGGTGACGTTGTATCCCATTTGCTGGAGGTTGACTCTCTCACGCTCCCAGTGATATACAGACACCCTGAGCACATTTTTGACCACTGGTGGAGTCATCACATTCCTGATGCCACGTTGATGCCACAGGCTAAGCAACTCCTTGCACAGGATTGTGCCCAGGGTCTGCGACCCTTGGTATTCACAGATGGCTCTGCAGCTCCGCCAGCATACCCAGAAGCTCGCCAAGCAGCTGGTGCTGCTGTTGTGATCTCCAGGAGTCAGGTTGCGACACCAACTCAGTGGGAAATGTTGCTGCATACTTATTTTGCCTCATCCATGATCCCACCGGAGTTCGTCACAATGTGTGTGATGCCTACATCAGGATCTCAGACGATTCCTCGGTCGGAGTTAGCTATAGTTGTGCAGGTCATCCAGCAGAGCTCCTGTGTTGAGATTGTGACTGACTCTCAATATGTGATTGACCTCCACTGCCGAGTGAAGGCCCAGTCGGATATCGCAGCACTTCAGGCCCTTCCAAACTTTGACCTGTTGTATCAGCTCTTTCGCCTACAGCGCCAGCCTGGCTATGACGTTGTGTTCACTAAAGTGGCCTCTCATGCACTGGCTCCAGGAGCCCCAACATGGGAACGAGTTCTCCAATTAGGCAATGAGGCGGCGGACCAAGCGGCCAAAACTGCCCGGACCCAACTTGTTGATGCCTGTCGACAGGTGCCAACCTCACACTATCTGCAAGAACGTCAACGGGTCAGTGCACAATTCGCACTATGCTATGATGTTGGGTGCCTGCGGAAAAATCTGTTGCAGACTACGGAGACCACGACTTTGCCTTCGCAACCTGCATCTGATTTTCTGGATACTGAGGTTGCAGACCCTCACATGTTCCCTCCCCAACTTCATCAGACACCACTGATCCGCTTCAGCTTGTGGGGAGCAGGATTCACTGAAGGGATCCTCTTCTGGGCATCAAGCGTTAGATGGCCAAGAGACAGTTTTTGCACAGCAAAGGCTGACATTGGATCGGTTAGCGTTACTTGGATGGAGCTCCTCATTGACTGCCAGTTTACGCTCCAACTTCAATGGCCGCATAGCACTGTCAGTTCGAAGCACCCTCCAATACTCCGACATCCTGGTATCCATGGTGTCAACCAAGTGGATGTGCCATTCAGCTGGAACCTCAGCAACTTTCGCCGAGCAATTCGGCACCTGGAGGACCTCTTGGGATTGCAGCTTTTGCCTAAAGCTCGTGGAACTGTCAACTCACTTTATCGCCTAGGAGCTCGAGGCCACAAAAAAGGCATTCCATGGAGGCCGCAGCTCTGCTGCCCCAAGGAAGTGGAGCAGTCTCTGCGCGAATACTTCAGGTTGCATCCTCATTGCACTCAGTTCCGAGCACAACCACCAATGATTCAACTTCCTGCCAAGTTTGTTGTTTGCTGGAAACTGGACGAACGATCCTTCGAGCCTGACATAGGCGGACTTCGGCTAGCCCGTTTCACCTCGTGGAAGCAGAAGGGACGACCGTCCCCACTGCCCTTTGGTCCTCCAAGGTGAGGATCCGTCATCGCAGACAACGGACCTTCTTTGCCCTGTCAGCGGGGGGGGGAATCTCAATCAGTGCGCCGGTGACTTTTCCAATTCTTCTATAACATGTTTGTATTTCTCACTGTGATGAACATTTCTAGTAGGTACTAATAACAGATCATCCATAATATCCCTTGTTAAGATCCATCACGACCACCTGTGCCACTTATGTATAAAGTCTTACTTGTTTTTGTAAAATCCACTTGGTGATGAATAGGCGTTCCATAAGCCCCTGCGGTCTTCTATCTTCTCCTTGTTTGCTACATTTTTTCTTCAGCATATAGTGTTCTATGTTGTTTAAAAATGTTTAAAGTGATCATTTAAGTGTCTTGTAAAGTCATTCATTCTATCATTCCAGTTTTGTTTTTTTCATAATCACTGTAGGTTTCTTGACCGATCTTACTGATTAACACCTGGGCGCTTCCAGGCAGATCCTTCCAGGCAATGTCAGACACACCAATCATTCTCAAAAAAGGTTGACAAATGCATACAAATGCTCATTTTCATCGAAAATCGCGCCGTTCACAGCGCTCCCCTCTCAAATTAAATACTGTTCTGACGTTCCCGGACCTTGGTGGGTAAGACTTGAGGCCAAGGGGGGGGGGCGAAAGCTAGCGCTCCAGAATGGGAAAGTGGAGGGCGGCGAGGTAGGAAAAAACACGGCGCTCTTTTGGAGGCAGTCGCACGGAGTAGCAGAAGGCAGGACGCCTTGCACAAGTTGGGCGGGGCAAACGATTCCAAGTGAAGAGTCCTTTATATGTGGCTCTTTGCCCGGATCCTCCTGCGAGAGAAGAGAGAGAAGAGAGACGGAAAAACGAGAGACAGAGAGGAGACAAAGAGAGAGAGGAGAGAGAGATGAGAGAGAGATGAAAAAGAGATGAGGGAGAGATGAGAGAGAGATGAGAGAGAGATGAAAGAGAGAGAGAGAGAGAGACAGTGAGAGTGAGAGTGAGAGTGAGAGTGAGCGAGTGCGGCCGCAAGATACGCAACGCTAACCGCATGCCAAAGAGCGACGACAGGACGGAGTCGAACTTGCGAAGAGGGAGGAGGGAGGAGGGAGGGAGGGAGGGAGGGAAGGTGGGAGGAAGACAAGGAGGAGGAGAGGGGAGGTGGAGAGAGGGGGGGGGGGGGAGAGGGGGGGGGGGGGGGCTTCGACCTGAAAGATCAGGGGTTAGGATTTGCACCCGATTGAAAGAAACCTTGCTATCGCAAGAGCTTTCGTGAATTGCTCAAGAACAACGTGCGGTGATTACAAGGTTGGTTTACAATCAATTTTTTTTTGTTTTGCCAACCTTGGGGTTACTTCTGCCATATTTGCGGCCCTATGGGTTTGATGATATTGCAGTTGGCCTTTGCATATCAGGATTGGCCGGATGAAACCCACATAGCGCCTTCAGCAGCCTGCCGCGGCCATCTTCAGGGCCCATGGCTCGTCCACAGGAAATATTCAGTGCAAAACCAATCAATGGCAGATTTTCTTGACTGAAAACGGTGGAAAACTGTCAAATTTTGCTTGTCAAAATGGTTTTCATTAGTTTTATTCTGAACACGCACGTTCGAGCCAGAACAGCCGCTACACACAAAAGTGTTGTTGTAAGTTGTTGAGGTAAGTAATTATTCCCAATCGAGATGGTTAACGCGTTGTTGACCATCAATCCAAACGTCGAGGCGCACGCCGACACTTGACGAAACCGACCTTCCAACCAAAGCCGCTCCCGCAAATGTTCGGGCACAACCTTGCAAATGGCCAAGAGGTGCCGGGAGTGACTCCGGGAGTGGTATACCCCGGGCCCGTGCGGGCTCGCTGCTGGCTCGGCGCCTGCTTGGTGCGGGGTCTGTGCGGGCTTGCGGGCTCGGCGCGGTTTCGCGGGCTTGCGGGTTCGATGTGGGCCCGTCCCCTCAAGCACGCTTGCAGGTCTGTGAGTTAATTGCGTGCGTGCTCAGTGTGGAGTGTCTAACACAATTGGTGAATTGCAACCACTACATATCCACACACGTCTGCGACACTTTGAGTTGCCCTCACAAGCAAGCCTTTCACCGTATTCCACCTGCCAACATTCATTGGAGAAGTCCCGCCCCCGCCCCCCGAAGTGAAAGTTTATGGGGCGGAAAGGGGGAATACCAATTACACCGGCATAGGCCCCAAATAGGGCGTGTATAAGTTCAAAAAAAGGCACGCCGCGGCACAGCACGCAACATCAGACCAGTCCACCAATAGATGTGTGCAACATCTATCCGCTGAATGCGCCCGCTTTGCCCAACACAGACGTTAAACTACAAGATCGGCAAGGACCAGCCAAAGCTGCCCAAACGACATGATGATCATTGCTGCCCAACACGGTGTCACGCACAATATGTGACATGATGATCATGATGTTTTTCTCTGGCATGACGTGATGTCACCCCTGGCATGACATGACGTCATCCTGGCATGACGCAAAGCGAAACGCCGATCCAGAGCCCCCTGCCACTTCTACCAATACTATCCAATACTGCTCCCGCAGCCGCAGCCACCCCCACAGCATCCATGCATAACACCGTTGCCAATACCACATCAGTAATGTCACGACAACGTAGTACAATACAGCCACTACGACCACCACCACCAGCAAAACCTTTTATTTCTTTTCGAATAATGCTTCGATTAATGTTTGCATGGGTGGGCGGTGGGGGGGTGCGGCGTTTCCCCCTTCTTGACAATGGAGAAAGGTCTATCTCCTTGGCCGGGCCTCGCTGGGCTATATGTTTTTTTGCTACACTCCTTCCCGTCGGTGGTGGTGTTTGCTGTTGCCCAATTTCCGTAGTTGTTTCCCAGAGTGATTGGGCGGGAACTTGCGGTCCTTAGCGCTTGGTGTTAGAGGTGGAGGGGGCGTTTCCAGCTTCGAACGAATGAATTTGGCATTTCGACCCGGCATGGCCATTTGGTCATGGTCCATGGTCCTAGCGTGAGGGTTGGCCGCTCCGAGCCAGCGGGCCCGCGCGATTCCTCCAAAAAACCCACTTTGTTCCCCAGATAAGGAATGTCATCATTTTCATCTAATTTTTCAATGGTGTGGCTTTGGGTCGGCGATTTGGTTTTGCCGGTGCCGCTGCCGTGCTGATGTTGGTGCAGGTGTAGTTGTCGTCGTCGTCGTCCTCGTCGTGGTGGTGGGTGGCGTAGAAAATCGTAGAAACAGGTGTTGGAGCAGCGGGGCCCAAGATGTACACAAAATGGTTTACAATGTGTTGCGCCTGCCACGGCACCTGCGCCTCCCACGAACTCTGCACGTGAGGGCCGCACATAGCAATAGCATGCCATAGCGCTGTGGTTGCCACGGCATTTGCATATGTAAAATTGTCAAACTGTGGCGCTTGCAACAAGCCTCTGCACGCCGAGTCCAACAGTAAAGTTCAAAGCATGCTGCATTTGCCACGCGGGTCGCCCACCACGAGATCTGCGCCAAGCACGACAAGGGAAACGAACCTGGTGTCAAAAATTGTCCAAGAAAGTTCCCGACTCACTGCATCTGCCACGGGGTCAAAGCGCGTCGAAAACCCGAAAAATGATCCAACTCCAAAGCGTTGCGGCTGCCACAAAATCTGCGCAGTGATGTACAACCATTATTAACAGTTCCGATCTGCTGGCCCCAGGGTGTGTTTGTTTGATTTTGTTTGTGTGTCTGAGGTTGTGTGGTTGTGTTTGTGGTTTTGTGTTTGTGTGTTTGTGGTGTTGTTGGTTGTGTTTTTGTGATTGTGTTTATGCTTGTGTTTTTGTGGTTGTGATTCTGCTTGTGGTTGTGCGTTGTTGCTTGTGCATTGTGGTTGTGTGTTGTTGAGGTCACTGCAATCTGGCGCTTGCTGTTGAGGTCCGGTAGTGCCTACTGCGATCCCGCGCTTGCCGTTGCAATCCGGGACGGACAAACGGACGGACGGATGGATGGACGGACGGAAGCCTATCAGCCTATCTGTAAAATCTACAGTAACGACCCGCGGAAAAACCAGAACCTGACGGAAGGAAAGTATCGACCTCCGCTTCAACTGTCTACTTCTTGAGAATCTATGAGAATCCCGATCCCAATCGTGACAGTCGGGCACCAAGCCCCCGTCCTTCGGAAAAGCACCCCGGCGTGCCCTGGCATGCCCAATGACGGCAGTGCTGGGTTAACGAAGAAGAACTTCGCAAGGGCCAGCCATGCAACCACCCATTAGCAAAGGAGGATGCCTGAGGCCTGAGGCCACCAAGAAAATTCCGGACCAGAAAGCCAAGATGTCCAGGATGCCAAGCTGGGCAGCAGCTACCATAACCAACAGCCAACCTAAGCACCAAACCATCTATATATATATATATTACAGTATATATAATTAGTTGCCAAAGCATGGAGGCACTAGGTCACTAGGCTATCAAGCCAGCACGATGTTTTGGCAGCTAACACAAACCGACCGCGTGCTTTGCTTTTACGGTTGTACAGTACAATGCACCAAATGCACACCGAGAAAGTTGAAAGCACGGTGTTGCCCAGTGGAGTGCAAAGAACATCAGATTCCTCTAAAAGCAAACACGTACACGGACGTCGTCCAAACTGGCCTTGCAAGCAATGGAGGAAGTATCAAACGCTCACAGTGATGGCTCAACCATGAATGTTATTATGGCACTGTCTTGCGCTTGCCGTCGGAGTTGTGGCTGTTCCGAGCTTCTTGTCGTTTGACAGTTTTCGCTTGGTAGTTATTGCTGACCCTTCGGCTTTGCTGTCATTGAACATGTTTCTGGTTGTGTGTTTTGTCGCTTCCTGCTGTTGAAGCCTTGGTAATTATATAGTTGGTTCTTGGATTGTTCGAAAGCAGCAAAGCAAAGCAGGGTTCACAGCTAAACTTAATTTTCGCATCGTCGTTCGGGATCATTCTTTCATCTTCTTGAGGCCAGCGAGCCCGCAGCCCTAAAAGAAGACGCCCTTGGACGGCGGGCGCGGCGGGCGAACTAGTCCAAAGGGCCAGTGTGCGGCGTGCGCAGGAGTTATTTTCTTGCTGTCGCTACTGGTAGCGTCCTTGTTCCTAGCAGCGATGGACCCCCCAACCTACTTCCGATGGCCTCCACCTAATTGCGTCTTTGTGAAACCTGTCTGTGCCCAAGATCTAACCAATTGTCCTTCCGTCCGTGAAACCAAGACCATCACCCCAGGGTGGCCCAAGCGCGAGCCCGGAGGACGGGGGTCGGGGAACCGTCCAGCTTTCGGTGACGAACTTCTAAACAGATCAGCAAAGACAACTCCATTGCACGCTTGGCACCAATTGTACTGCGGAGGCACCCTCACATCTCAGCCAACATAGCACCTTTTTCTCCAACTCACGCGCCGCTTTACAAAGCTTCCCTCTGGTGTTTCTCCACTTTGGCGAGTGCTAGCGGTGCTGTGCTTCTTGACATTTCTTGACTGTCACAACATGGGTTCAATCACCATGTGCTTGAACAGGCAATGTCTCGGTCCATGAAATTCTGGACTGCAAACACTTGGTTTGATACTGCTGCAGGAACTTGAGCTTTTGTCTGCATTCTGCATTCCTGCTATCTGCTTCTGCCTCATCATCCCTCAATTGCTTCCAGAAGCCTCTGAAGTAACTCAGCCTAACACGCAGCAGGGTTCAGCAATGCATGTGCAACTGGATGAGTCACCACGGTCAAGAATCGAAAGGAGAGCGCTTCCACGCGTGAAAGCAACAATCGTGGGGGGTGGGAAGCTACTAGGAACAAGTGCATCGCTACTAGTAACAGGTGCCTTACTAGTAGTAACAAGAAGCTACTAGAAACAAGTGCCTTACTAGTAGTAACAACTTCACTTCACTCTGACATCCTCTCCGCCTGCCTTCTTGCCAGTTGTGGGCAGGTTAGCTTCTTGCAAAGCTTGCTTAAGCTCGGCCACTTTCCTTGGCAAGAAAGCACTATTGCAGTTGAATCTCCGTGAAGTAGAACACAGCTGCTTGACTGCATGATGTATACATGGGAATTAGTAATTAGTTTGACGATCTCACAGTCTGAGAAGTCTGAAAGCCTCAAGCCTGATGCAGGGAGAGCCGTGTGGACTCATGCTCTGGTCAATGGCATAAGTCAATGTAGTTGCTACCCCTTCAATCAATTGCTGAGATACCCAGCTTTGTATACAAGGGTTCTATTCTCCCACTACAGGACTGGACCCTTTCCAATTCCTGTCATGGAAAAAGCTTTGACCTATTGACTATTGTTTGTTACAAACACACTTCATTCTCAAGCCCATTCTCAATCGTCCAAGAACCTTTCAGAGCTTCATCAGCTCTATCTAGGCTCAACGGACAAACAAACAAAACCACACTCCTCTTTCCAGTGTACATACAGCATTGACCACGACAAGCTGGTTACGCAGTGTCCTGCGCACTGTCCCACACTGGGAAGCCTCACATTTTGTTTGCCTCTTCTGCCGTCGGTAAGCTTGGCTTGGGAGCCTCGTGGGACGTGGCC